TTAAAAGTTCTAGAAGAGCTAATTTGTGATTACTAAGATAAACCAAATTGGCTATAAATAATATCAGAGACCACAAATGGTGGTAAAATTTGACTATTATTACAAATATTACATGTAGGAAATATGTATTAAAAGAGAAAAATTACCTTCTTTTCGCATGATTGAAAGACATGCCTTGGTAAATTAAAAGGATATTGATTATAATAACTATATTATTTGGCATGACCGACTGGATCATCCCGGATCAAATATGATGCGAAAAACTATTGAAAATTCATTTGATCATGTGTTAAAGAACTAGAAGATTCTTCAATTTTATTGAATTTTCTTCTACTGCTAGTTCTCAAGAGAATTATCACCAGCTAAAGTTGAGATTCAATCTCTTGCATTTTTAAAATGCATATAGGGTGAAATATATGGGCCCATTCACCCATCACATAGATCTTTCAAATATTTAATATATGCATCTACAAAATGGCCATAGTTTGTCTATCTTGACATTTATGAGATTTTTGCTCAAATGATAATATAAAGAGCACAATAAAGACAATTATCTTCATAATACTGGTGAATTTAATATTAGCAGAATTATTACATGTCTCCAATTGATTCCTAGAATGTTGTCTATGAGAAGAAAGCTCCCTATTTTTTCATGGGGATATGCTATATTTTATGCTATAGTACTTGTACGCATCATGCCAATAAGTTATCATCTCCCCATTACATTGGCTTATGGTCAGAACCAAATAATTTTTTGATGTGTAATTTATATTCTAATTACTCCACCACAACGCACAAAGATGAATCCCAAATATAGTTGGGAATATATGTTGGATATGAATCTCCTTATATGATATATTGAAATAATGACCGGAGATTTAATGGATTATTGTTATCAGTCTTTCCAACATGAGGGGGAGATAATAAACAATTGGAAAATATAAAATGCATTATCATTATCTCATATAGATCCTCACACAAAACAAATATGAGAAAATGATATTGTATATCGACAACTAGATGGTTTAACTGACCAATAAGTCTAATATTTCAACTGTTAATGCTCCAATTCATATTGTACATAAAAAAAGATCGGTTCCAAGGATAAAAATCTTCAAAAATGGAGGAAAGGAGAAAATGATTAAGATGGTCATAATATGAAGACAATTCTTAATCCTAAAGACATAACTTTCATTAAACCTCCAGGAGGTTCAGGTACCTGAAAATAATGAAAATGAAGAGATCTCTATTAGTTATGTCATTACAAGAAAAAGTTGGAACCGTAAAGATATAGTTGTCGACACTATTTTTGCATAAAATGAATGATGAAATAAGACAAGATTTTAAAGATAAATTTGTTGATGATAATTGGCCAAAAATATAAAGACGCAATTCAAATTCAAAGTTTTTGGATATACAATCCAAACATATGAATGTGTAAAGACAGTGGGGTACAAATGTGCAAAAATTATAATGAGAAAATGAAGTCGTAAGATATAAAACACAACTTATAGCACAATAATTTTCACAAAAGCCTGACATTTATTATATGAAAATATATTCTCTTGTGGTAGATGCAGTCACCTTCAGATATCTTTTAATTAGACAGTATATGAAAAAATTGACATGCATATAATAGATATTATTATAGCCTATTTATATGGCTTATTCGATCAAGAATGAAATTTATATGAAAATTCTATAAGGATTTAAAACTCTTGAAGACATATAACAATTCCTGAAAAATTTGTTGAATAAAGCTTTAAATATCATTAAATGGATTAAAGAAATAAAGGCGTATGTGGTATAATCGCCTTGATAAAATATTTATTAGTTGACTTATAATTTAAAGAGATTGTACATGGATAAAGCAAATCCATCGAGTACCCCAATGGTTATGAGATCGCTTGACATAAATAAATTATCCATTTCACCCCATGAAAAATAATTTCCTAATCTTGAAATGCCATATCTCAATTCAATCAAGGCTTAATATATAACATGATAAAGGAGATTAATTATATGGCTCAATTAAGGAGGAGATATTATGATGATATGTACTCATATGATAACTACATTAAATATTCAGAGGAAGAGTTATAAGAATTGCACTCTTTTTCCCTTCACTGAATTTTTATCCCATTGGGATTTCTTGGAACGTTTTTCATGAGGCAATTTTTTAGTGTATAATTATGGGTTAACATTCGATGGAGAGCTATGAAAATATCAAATAAGTGGATATTCAACTTTCTAACCCCACATCTTCTCCCATTTTACCCTCACATTTTATTTCTTGTTTGTAAGTCTATTAGCAGGATCATACTCTTCTCTAACACGAAGATATTAGAATAATAATAATGCAAGTTATTTAATTGAACTACACAATGGTAGATCCCAAACAAGATTTCAATCACAAGTGGAAGCACAACAGGCTCACAACAAGCTGATATATGGGAATGAGATTCGTAGACTCAGAGACATTATGATGTTATCATCAGGAGGGGTAAAATATGTGCTGCACTTTTTTTTCCTTCACCAAGGTTTTGTCTCATTTGGTTTTCTGATAAGGTTTTTAATGAGGCTATGCATATTATTAGAAATGTATACTCTTTTTCCTCCACTAATTTTTTTTTCCCATAGGAGTTTTTTCCTAGTAAAGTTTGATTGAGGTACATTATCTTAATGGACATTCAATGAGGAGTGTTATAAATAATATTGTGGATGTCCATAACTCCCAAAGAAACAATGTGTAACTTTTGTAACTTTTAATATGTAATTAGGAGAATTCAATGCTATCATTTATATTATCGTAACTCATTATGATAGAGGGTCTATAATAGAGACCACATAGATCTTGTATAGTGAGAATGATAATACAATGAAAAAATTTATCTATGCTCTTTTCCTTCCCCCGTTTCTATCTCCATTATTCTTCCAATTTTCTATTATTTCACAATATAAATTAATTTTTTCTAACATAATTTTTAAATATTTTTGTTTCCAAAATTAAAATTTTAATTTTTTTTGTAAATATTATTAAAGTTTAATATGTTTCATAATATAAAAAATTAAATTTATTTTCCGCACAAACATTAAAATATGGGTTTTATGTTTATCATTTAACATAATATAACTTCACTTTTCTACACACACATTAAAGAAGTGGGGTCCACATATTTTTCTTTCTCTTTTATCATTTCACTTTCTCTCTTTTTTGATGTGAGAGTTGAAAATAACACTTACATTATTATTACATAACACTAATAAAACCCTAAAAATATACGTGAACGTGGACAATAAACTGCTCGCTACATAGACTTATCCCATCGATAGAAATAATCTATGTCATTGGGACAATTAACACTGTACATGGGAAATTAACACAGTAACATGCACAATATAAGTAACATGTACAGTAACCTCCACTTACTTTTAAGCCGAAAGTGACTTTAATTTTATAACCTCAAGACAGTTATATACACATATATTTTGATACACAAAAGGGACTTGTGAAGAGGATTCTACATGAAATCTTTAAAAAGATAAGTGATCAAAATAACTTTCTAGTTATGATATATTAAAGAGTTAATTTTACGACAATATTTGGAAACATTTGCGGGTTACAAATAAAAGAAAAAATTAAATAAATAATAAATAAATGATTAAATAACTTACGTACCAAGTTATGAAACGAAAACGTAACTAACACGTGGTCGTTCTGCTCTTTGGTCTTTCCTTTAACCGATGAAAGCTTGCCAGGTTGCATTCTTTGATCATTGATGGAAGGTCACCTTTAATGAAATCGATAAATAAAATTAAAAAACATTAATTGAGTTAAGAGATTTTTTTTTCATTATTAACGTGGAAAACTAACTTTGTATTATTATCAAATTGCATATTGTTACATTATTAAAATAATTTAATTTTATATTAATCATTCAAATTAAAAATTGAAATAACATATTAATAAATGAAAAAGATTATATTTACAAATTCTTCTACGTACTCCTGTAAGTACATTAGGTTGCACTATGTAATTCCAAGAATACATAGTGTAATATATAAAAATTTATAAAATAAATTTACAAACGGATCCTTCCCCTTAATAAATAATAAAAAAACATACATTATTTTAAAGGACAAAATATATATTATAGAGAAGAGAGAATGTAAAATGTTAACAAATTTTATTGTTTTTTCACAATCAAAACTAAATTAAAATTAAACTTTATTCTAATTTTAATGAAAGAAGTTAGAGAAAGTAAAGCATGTGAGTTTATCGTAAAAAAAGATTTCTTTTATTTAGTGAAAGACATAAATTTTTTGTGGATCAAAAGCTTGTTAAATTAAAGTGGTTTTAGACTTAATCACATAATAAAAAGGGGGATATGATTACAAAAAAATGGATATTATTTCTTGTATTATATGATATAATTTATCTCATACAATACATAAAAAATATGGGTGAAATTTAGTAAAAAAAAAAAAACGAATGAATTTCATTCACTTTTTTTTTATATGTTGCATGAAACAATTTATCTCATATTACATAAGAAACATATTTCCAACAACAAATTATAACATTTTTAGAATTCATAATTATACCATACGCATTTCAGACTGTCAATATTATTATTTTTTAAATGTATACATGTGTACATTAATTTTTCTAAAAAAATTATATATATTTCTCTTTCAAAACATGTTATTTCAAGCTATTTAAAAATGGAGTTTGTTACAATATTCATGCACCAATCACAGACGTTGGATTTGCTTCCTTCTTCACTCAGCAAGCAATCTGAACCGTCAGCCTCACATTCTCACACATCCAACCCCATATTCCCAATCCTTATTCAACCGTCATGAACACAAATTATTTGTAAGATTGGATCATACCAAAATTTAATCTTTTTTATTAAATCGTGTTAAATGGCCAAATGGGTGGGAGATTTATGATTTAGATTTAGAAACATTTGGGATTAAAGAAAGGCATTATAAAATGCCGCCCATTGCTTCAAAATACAAAACAGTGAAGAAGAAGAAGAAGGTGTTAACCTTTAACGGCGTGGGGAACTGTATATAAACGCGTGAAGTGCGCCTTTATTTTTAATCCCTATTTTCTGAGCATAAATATTCAATGCATCATCCTTCATCTATTGCAATTGCACCTTCCATGTGAAAACAGTGATTTCTGAAACCCCTTGTTGTGTTTGTTGTGTCTCTTGCACTTTTTCTTTCTTATGAACAAAGAGACTTTGAGGATTGTCTGAATTGAGTTGGTGCTGAATCCAAGGTGGGGGTGTTCTAACCTTTGATATTTTGCTTAGTTAATTGGTTGTGCTGTTCAATATCTGGTTCTTTTTTAATGCTATTGGATTGGATCATTTGTTATTTATATTCAAAGTTGGAACCTTTTCTGTTCGATCATATTTGGGTTTGTTTTGGATTGGTATAAGTGAATAATCTCAAGATGTGTTGTGGTTTGAATTGAATTGAATTTTGTTGGATTTGTATGTATTTTTCTAAAGTTATTTTGGATGTGGGGAATAGAGACATAAACATAGAACCAGGAGTTTGTGCATGCTGTTCTTTTTATAACTAGAGACTGGGACTGGAATTCGTTGATGAAACTCTAAGAAGGCTATGGAGAAAAAGAAAAAATTGATCTCAAAAACAATGAATGAGGTAGATGCTTGATGGTTCCTGCTTTTCTGTTTTGCCCCTTGCCTCCTTTTGAGAGGGAGACAAAATAATAGAGCCTTGTATACTAGATGGCTATTTTTTATAATAGCCCTGGAGGATGCAGATTTTAATTTGTTCTCTGTAAAGGAGAGCAAAGTAGACACTTCCTTTGATAATATTGGGTAGTGTTTAAATCAATTATCGTTTTCTTTTGTTAGTCAAATTATTAACTTCATATTGACTAATATCAGTGAAACTGTATTATTACTTTGGTTAGCTTAGATTCATATCTCTCCTGTGTCTGAAACTGAAAGAGTGTTTGGCCAGTCAAGCTAGAGCAGGTAGTTATGTTTGACTGTTCGTGACTGCAGTCAGAGATACTAGTCTAGTCAAAACCATATTTCAATGGTTTTTCTGAAACTTTGTTTTATTGATGAAGTCTAATGGCATTGATTGATCCATGTAGTCAACCCTACCTAGTGGAAGAAGGCTTGGTTGTTGTTGTGAAAACACTAGACAGCAAAAAATCTTTTAATATCAAGTATCAACTATAGGGCATTGTAATAGGGCCGACCCAGTTCAAATACCCACTTCGTGAGTGTCTGGGGAATATATATGATAAAATTTACTTGTCAAAATTGTTATGGACAGTTCTGATATCGAGTTTTATTAATTATACAAGGAGGACAAAGTTGCAGTTTTCGTTTTATTAACTGTTATATGCCCTCCATTTTTGAGGATTTATATTATCAGTTCTGCATCGACACGTGTAATTTAGGTCCTTAGTGATGCAGCTTATTTTGACGCACAATACCTGGTCTAATCACTGCATTCAATGTTATGATTTGTTCTTGATATAGCATATCATTGTCTTAATTACTGCTAAAGCTCCAATCTCTTAATGTACAGCTTATTTTGGCCGGTCTATTCTTGCTGGTGCGGAATCATTTCAGCATTGTCTGGAATAAGACTTTCAGATTCCTTGTCAAGTTTAATACTTAAAGATGGTTTTAAATGAGCATTCAGACGTTGGTCAGTGGGCTATTAATCTTTTTGACGGTTACCCTGGTTATAGTCCTGGATACTATAGTGATATAATTCAACATGATACTGAAGATGTCTATAATGGACAGTACTTCCATAGCCATCATGATCCCGAATGTAACCAAGTAGAGAATGATGAGATCATTGCACGGACTCTTCAAGAAGAGTTTTCCCAGCTAGAGATTGCTGAGTGTTCAAGGTATTCACAGGCAGATGAAGAACATTTCCGTGTTTCTGAGCCTGCATATGATTGGCATAACACATCGATGATGAACTATTGTTCAGGAGGTATGATTGAAGGCATAGAGCTGCTGTGTGCTTGTTTATAGTTGAGATTTATCTTTTTGCATCAATTTGGTTACTTCAATCAGAATTTTACATATGCAGGTCATGATTATGCCCTCGAAAGAGTTGATGACATAGAACCTTCTAGTTCATGTTGTTGTACTTGCGAAACGGGGGAATGCTCATTGGAGTTTACCGGCCATTATCCACTTGATGATGAAATCGGGAGGAGATTGAGTCAGATGATTCCAACTCCTGTATGTTTATCTTCTTGTGCTTCTATGGATTCTTCTTGGATATGCTATTGAATCAATAGATATATGTACTTAGCACCTTTCAGTGTTCATTTATGTACCAAACAGCTTATTCACTATGTTATATTTTTGTCAATTTACTGTGATAAACTTCTTTTGAACCACGTTTTCAACTCATTACATGTAATTGATACTTAGAGTAAGTCATGATTGTTTTTAAAATGTAATTGTGGACTTCGAAAGCATTTATTCCCACACTAGTCTTCATACGCGGTGATGAATGAAGCAGCTTCTGGTTTGAATCTTGCACTCTGATATGTGGTGATCATTTTTGGGGGAGGGAGTGGGAAACAAAAAAGATACTAAATTTCATTAATTTTCTTCATTCTTGCAAAATGGTTTCTCCAACCGCTCAGTGTTAGAAGTGCCTTGTGTTGTTATTTTTCTTTTTGTTATGATGAATTTTATCTCTTTATTTTCATCCTACAGCCCTGAACATGTGGTATGATTTTAAAAAGTTCATTTCTTTTGATAAGTTGTATGATCTGTTGATTGGACTGGTGCTTAAAAATTGCATTTTTACCCTCTTATGTAGCATGTTCCAAAAATTAATGGAGAAATTCCTTCAATTGATGAAGCAACTTCAGATCATCAAAGGCTTTTGGATAGGTATTAGTCATAAGCATTCTCCCTCCTTGGTAAAAACTATGCTGCCGTAATGTGTGTATCATTGTCCAGTAAGTTATTAATTGCAATTACAGTGAAACTATTGTCATGGATGAGCTTCTTTGTGGGATATTTTTTTTGTTCATTTGTAGTTTCTGAAGTTTTGGCTGGTAACAAGAATTCTTTATTTCGTGTAGTTTTTCTTTTATTAGACTTATACTCAACATGCCAAATTAAGCTGCTCATATTTTTAAACAGACTGCAGTTATATGACTTTGTGGAGCATAAGGTACAAGGTGATGGTAATTGTCAGGTTCGTTGCTTTTAATATTCACTTTCCAATTTTTTGTTTATTAACGTGTTCTCAGCGGCTTTCATCAGTTTTAGATTGTAAGTTCCATATTTATAGTAAATTTCAAATAATAATTCTTTTTCATGTTTAATCCTTGCCAGTTCCGTGCATTATCTGATCAATTGTATAACACACCTGATCACCACATGTTTGTGAGACGACAAGTTGGGGACCAGGTTTGCTGTCTAGTAGATTATGTTTTATAATGCTTGCACCTGAATCTTAGTATCTGCTTTGCTTTTTTTGTGCAATCTTCTTTGATTCTGATTGTTGAATGGTGTTTTTAACCAGCTGAAGTCTCACCCCGAGATTTATGAGGGATATGTTCCCATGGAATATGGCGAATATTTGGAAAAGATGTCTAAGTAATAATCTGCACTCTCCCTCTATCTATGTTTCTATATGAAAAATTTCTTTTGAGCTAACTAATAGCTCCTTTTACTTTCATTGTTAATGAAACTAGGAGTGGTGAATGGGGCGATCATGTCACTCTTCAAGCAGCTGCAGATTTGGTACGAGTTTTGCAACTAACCATTCTCTCCTATAGAACTTTCTTTGTATATGTCCCATTATTCTTCCATTTTCTGCGAGGCATTTTATTTTTGGCCAAACATCTAGAGAAATAATGAATCATTAGTGGGGTCATTTGATTTTTCCATGAAGTGGCTAGCAAGTTTCAAATTTGGTTGTTTGCTTGTGCTGGACAATTATTTTGTCACAGTTATCATTTCTAATTTTTCTTGAGAGTGGATTATTGATTTGGCTGTTGACAACCAAACTGTTGCGCCTACTTATTAAGATGATCAATTTTTGATGTTGTAATATTTCCAATTGTGAGACTCTTAGTATTACAATGGGTGTTAATAGATATAGTCTTTAATGCAGGGTAGTAATCCTTTTAAAAATAAACACCATTGGTTTAAGTTGTGGGTGTATCCAAATTTTCAGGCATAGTTGCCTGGTGTAAGTCTGCTATCCCTCTTTCCCCTTTTAATTATGTCTGAATCACATTTTCAGCCGCCATTCTCTGTCTGTTTGTTGACATTGTCAAGTTTATAATAATATTTGAAATTGGCAATGAAATGATATGCCTTTTTAACTATGACTGATACCTATGATTTTTTTTTTTTTCCTTATTTTTTCTCCAGTATGGTGCGAGAATATTTGTGATGACTTCTTTCAAGGACACCTGTTGCATAGAGATTCTTCCTCATTTTGAGAAGCCAAAAGGAGGTATGTTTTTCTTAGTAGTAAAGCCTGAGCAGATGATTTTGTGTATGCCAAGACCATAGCCAATTTTTACTCGAGCTTAGACTAGTGGAGGTTGGTTTTACCTCTGCCAGGAGTCCTTTTTGTTCTAAATTTTCTTTTTCCTTTTTTCCTCTCTTATTATCTTTAAAAAAATTTGTTGTTTCTTCAAATCTTTCTGAAACTTGACCACAATTTGACATTCTTTTATAAGCATTGTTGCCTTCATAAGATGGTAATTAATGAAACTGTAACTTCAGCATCTGTTTCTAATTTCATGGATTTCCTTAGGTAGAAATCTGGAAACCTAGCAGTGGAAATTGTTTGAATAAAATTTGATCTGTGTGGGTGTGATCAATATTTTGTATTATAAGTGTTGTTATATGAATTTTTGGACTATTGGTGGCTTTGCCATTTGTTTTGGGTTGGGATACTTATTGCTTTAGGCCCCCTTTTATTTTTTATTGTTCTTCATATAATCAACTTGCATAATGTGTGTTTTTATTGCAGTGATTTTCCTAAGTTTTTGGGCAGAGGTGCATTACAACTCCATCTATCCTCAAGGAGGTATTTTTACAAAATTTTCATATTTAGCTTGATCCAGTTTGAAACAAGCTTGGAATTGGTTTGAATAATTTGGTTGGAACTTGGAATTTAATATAATTGACAGATCAGGTTTTCCTGTGTTGCCAAATTACCATTGATTCATTTTGTTGACAATCTGTAGCTGACTTTAATTCCCAGAGCCAATTGTAATCCTTTTGTTTTGATTATTATCAGCATTTAGATATTTGGAGGTTCATTTATGTATATATTTTCCAAATATAGTTTGGTTTATAATGTATGTATTAACCTATTGAAGGTATACCTTCAAGTGAGTCAAGAAAGAAGAAAAGGTGGTGGAGCTTTGGGAGTAAGCATTAAGAGTGGGGGCAGCCTTGAGAGCACCAATTTTCAACCTGCACAAGTTCCCAAATTTTTGGTGCTTCTGCATTTTGGATCATTGAATTCAGAAGCAGGGATACCAAACTTTTGGGGTTGAATTGCCCTTAATTTATATTTCCATTTTTTTTTTCTGGTCATTTTTGTATGCTTAATTTGATTTTCCCTTTTACTAATTATAAATCTGGGTATGCTGACCCAGTTACACCCCAGTGACATTTTGGATGCTATTTTATTTGTTAAAAATAAGAGACATTATAACTTAAAAAAAATAATTATATATAATTTTTAAAATAGTACAGCTTGCTTCCTTCCTTCCTTGTTTCTTTTATGCAGTTCCTTCTCACTTCAGAAAAATACTCCAATCCCAAACTTTTCTTTGCCTTTGTCTACTATTTTTGTCCAATCTAATAGGGGTAACCACAAAATGTTAAAATCAATAAAAAGAAAAAAAAAATCAATAATGCACAATACAAGAGGTATTGCAATAAAAAAAAATTATTAAATATTTTTGCATATTACACCATGAATATATATTATATTTATGCATAGTAAACAACGATTATCACAAATTTTAATTTGAGCAATTGATCATTCTACAATTAAAAAAAATTATATTAAGACTCACTCACAAATATCGAATTGGATTTTCTCATTGGTAAATTCTAAATCTAGGACAAACATAAACAAATGACTGCTATCTGTAACTTATAACCACTTAGGATTTGAAAATCATCAAATATTGTTCAGCTTTGAATTTGTCAATTTGGAATTGAACCAGTTTATTTGGTTACTTCTTTGATTGTGTCTTAGTCCTAAACCATTGAAGTATTGGTTACATGTGCATAGCTTCATTCAAAATCCTAAAATTTAACCATCCACAACTACGGATATAAATTGGAATTAGAACTGTCGTAGTACTATGGATTTTTCTTTTCTTTTCAATCATGTTATTGCTATTGTTATGGATATGAAAATCATATCCCAATTACCCATCTAAGAATCTATTAAGAGATAGATTCATGTCCATCTCAACAACTCTATAACAGTCAGAGGACACAAGATAAGAATCACATCCCAACAGAAAGAGAGTTGAATCACATTACAATTGGGGGAGCTCAAAGGGCCCAAGCCTAGGAAGGTAATCCTATAAATAAGAGCCTAAAGACCCCAGGTAAACACTTTTGACCTATTTACGAATACTGTCCACACTGTGCACACACACCCCCTTGGCTATAAGCCTATTGCTTGTGCGCAGTGATTGAGACCTCAGCTATAAGCCTAGTATACATCTGATATACACTATCTCTGAGCGCATACCATACTGTATAGTAATACGGTGTATGGAGGACCTAATAACTACAATTATGTACCAACGTCGATTGCCCAAAAATTTTGGCCTAAACTTCATCCAAAATTGAATTACCATACTAATCAAGTCTGCCAAAATGAAACACGTTAAACCCCTACATTCATCTACTCAAAAATCAAAATAGACATTTTATGCAAAATTATTCAATTTGTGTTTTCACGAAATGAAGAAAATGGTCTTCTAGTACTCCCAGTCATCACTCAAATTCAATTAATTGATCAATGGTGGGTCCAAATCCAAATTTTGTACATGTTGAACTGCCAACCCAAAAGAGTCCAAAAATATGTTGATACAATGATTCTTCATATTCATACGGTTTCTAATAATTTACATAACCGTGTTTCATTTCACCCCGTTCTTTCTGTCAGAGAACGAAAGATCAAAGAAGAAAAAACGAATGCGAACCAAGACACTTGTAACACATCCACATTGATTGCACGTAACTCTAAACTAACCTTAAAATCAACGAGGAAGAAAAAAAAAGAAAGAAAAAAAGACCCTCAATGCTACCCTACAAACATACATAAACCTCGTATGCTTCGCAACACTATCATAGTTCGTTGAGAGTCTCCTCTTGCTGATTATCCTCCGCCGTCGTAGGTTGCAACAACAGCGCCGTGAACGGCATGTGTCGGTATCCGTTCACCGCCGCCGCCGCGTACTCCGTTACTGCCGGCTGCGGCAGAGCCAAGGCGAACATCTCATGGCCACCGCCAGTAGTCTCCGGCGCGGGCAGAGCAAGGCAAGAGATGGAGGGCGCCGAGGAGGCGACGGCGTCGGCGAAGGATGAAACTGGAGCGGCAGGTACGGTGCCGGAACCTGTGGCGGCTACTATGGAGGGCTCAGCCTGGCGGAGAAGCCACTCGATTGTCTCGCCATCGGAGCGGTGGCCGAGCTCGCGGGTGAGCTGGAATATCCGGGCAGCGCAGAGCGGCGGCATGCGGACACGGCGGCCACGGCCGTTAACCTTGGTGTGGCGGTCCTTCGTGGAGCGAATGGCGACTGCGGCGGAAGATTTTTTTCTGGCAGCGGCTGAAGGTTTTGGTGTGGCTGTGATTTGCACATTGGGGTCAGAATCGGTTGTGATTTTAGGGTCTGAATGTGAAAATGTGTATGGAACAATTTCGGAGTTCATGTTAGGGTTTGGTTTTGAGATTGAGATTTTAGGAATTTGAATTGAACGTGGAAAAGAGAGTGAATCGAAATTACTTATTTTATTTTATTTTTTATTTTATTTTTTATTGAACCCACAATGAGAGTGAGGGAATTATTATATAATAGCGTCCATTTGAGGTCACTGCAGTGGGCCTCCTCTTCTGGGTTTTCATATCAACCATAAAAAAAAAATGAAACTTTTAAAATTACTCACAAGCTGTAAATTTATAATACAATAATATTTTTTTTAATAAAATATTAAAATTTTGAGATTCCCGTAGTATTAAATTCATGTATTATTTTAGTTATTTTTTTCTCTCGCTGTAGACAATTAGCAAGAGAAATATATTAAATCTTTTGTTGAAAAAAATAATAATTTTTTTTTAAGAATTTCTGATATAATTGATAATTTTTGCAATTATTTAAAAAGATAAAATTTGGAACTAACGATATTATTATATATAAACTTTTAGATAAATAACAATTACGTTACAAGAACACGATTTTTGTCATACAACACTACGGACAAATTTTTTTTTGTCTCTTTTAATTTATTTATTTTTATTTTACTTGACGTTTTCTGTTGTAGGAAAAAAAATTCTTGCTGCAACAGCACCCAATGAAAGCCCATAAACTTTTTAGATAATTAGAATAAATATCGACTTTAACGCTTCTTAATACATATAAGTTATTTATATTTATTCTTAAAATGACATTATTTTATATTAAAATATTAAAAAATTATAATCATAAAAAATATTATAACCTTTGAATAAATTATAATTATAAAAATATTTTTATTTTCCTCCCAAAACGATGTTATTTTTGACTCAATAAAAATAACTTATCTACATTGTAGAAAAAAAAAAACTCATAAGACAAATGTAGTAGTTATTTTTCCTATAAATTTTGTAATAGTATCTTTTTTTTTTTTTTTTTAATAAAACAAAGGGGCTAGAGCCCAAAAGAAATTACATCAAAGTGGATTCCGCATCCAGGTTCTGACTCAGCTCACAGGGAGCGTCATCCAAAAGAATAAAATTCTCATTCGCAGAAGAAGCTAGCTTAGCAAGAGTATCTGCACAAACATTGTTGTCCCTAGTGACATGCAAGAAAATAACATTCCAATCCTTGTTACTCCAGCTTCTAATGCTGTCCACAATCTGTGAGGTTCCATTAATGGCTGTGTTACAATTTATAGCTTGGATAGCTAAAAGACAGTCACTTTCAACTAACAGTTGAGACACTCTCTTAGTCCAGGCTACCCTGATACCCATTAAGATTGCCCAAAGTTCAGCAATTAAAGGGGAGCAAATACCCACCTTATAGAGGAAACCAGATCTCCAGTTGCCTACCTCATCTCTGAATAGGCCCCCACATGCAGCCAACTCGGAGATAGGCTGCACAGTAGCATCAACATTGAGTTTAATCCAACCCGGAGGAGGAGCTAACCAGCACTCTCTGCGGTGAGCTCGCGAGTGGCTCTGAGCATTTCTTCTATTCAAACCACCAGATACTATATCCCTGATAAACTTGGATAAGAAAATTAAAGGCTGGTCTGGTCTAGTGAGCTGAGTATCATGCATATCAAAATTTTGCCACTTCCACAGGTGCCAGATGGTGGCAGCAAAAATGTCAAGCCAGTTTAAGAGTTGCTGGTTGGGCCACTTCTGGTTGATATTCATTTGGAACCACTCCTTGAGAGGCAAACTGAAAAAATTCCTAGGAGGGGAGCCAAGGAACCAGGCCTCCCAAATTGGGGCTGCCTTACTGCAGTCCCTAAGGACATGAGCTATGCTTTCTACCTCAGTGGAGCACAAATGGCAGAAAGGGGAGTCACCCCACTTAGCTGAGTATTCTTGAGTGAGAAGCCTGCCATGGTACACCATCCACATAAAGGCACAAATTCTTTGGGGGCCTCTCCACTTCCAGATAGCTTTCCAGATGGGATCAGTAGGCATAGCCTCAAAATCCATGAGATTATTGTAAGCTAAACGGACAACGTTTTTGCTATTAGGAGAGTTCTTCCACATGAGGCTGTCATCCCTACCAGTACTGACCGGGGGGATAATGGGGCGAAGGACTTGCACCACCTCCAAGGGGAGGCTCCTCCTTATAGTCTCCAGATTCCACTGCCCAGTGTCATAGTCAACCAGATCTGCCACCCTGCAATTAACATGACAATGTTCTACATCCGAAGTGGTATAATCAATTAGAGGCAAGTCTAATTGGGTCCACTTATCCAGCCAGAAAGCAACATCTTTCCCATTCCCAACATTCCACTACATAGACGACAGGAAGTCTTCCCAGATTCTGCCCAGGCTTTTCCAAAGACTAGAGTCAGATTGGGAGGTCTTAATAGATCTTCTAAGATCTTGCAATCTGCCATATTTACCAGTAAGGACTTGCACCCAAAGAGACTCACTGTTGCTGGTTATCCTCCAAGCTAGTTTGTGAAGAAAAGCTTCGTTGTGAATCGAAAGCTTATGAATGCCCAGGCCTCCCGAACACTTGGGTTTGCACACATTGTCCCAAGCAACAAGATGAACTTTCTTCTTATCAGGCAAATCTCCCCAAATAAAGGACCTTTGGATTTGTTCTATCTCATTGCAGATTGACAGTGGAAGAGAGCTGTGTTGCATATGGTAAACAGGGATAGTGCTAATAACTGAGTTGGCCAAGGTAACTTTACCCGCGAAGGAGAGGAGGTGCCTTTTCCAGTTAGCTAGGCGAGACTTGACTCTATTGAGCACACCAGAGTAGTTCTTTCTTCTCCCTCGCCCATGCCAAAGCATGGCCCCCAAGTACTTGCCAAGAGAATTGGCCATTTTGAAACCACTAGCCTGCGCAATGGTAACCTTATCAACCAGGCAAGTATTCTTAGAGAAGTAAATTATAGTCTTGTCAATACTTATCAACTGGCCAGACATATCACAAAAATCTTTCAGACAGCTCATCATAACATTTAGCTGATCCAGACTAGCTTCTCCAAATAATACCAGGTCATCTGCAAACATGAGGTGAAAGATAGCTGGCCCTCTTCTACCTGCCTTCATTGGCTTCCACAACTTTTTACTGACAACCTCAACAATTAAATGAGACAGTTTGTCCATACACATAACAAATAAATACGGGGAGATGGGATCACCTTGCCGGATGCCCCTGGAGGGAGAGAATTTCTCAGAGGGGCTTCCATTCCACAGGACCTGGAATCTGGCCGACTGAACACAACCTTCAATTAAATCAGCTAAAGAGTGAGGGATACCTGCTTCTATAAGGATGTTTCTGATGAAAACCCAATTCAGACGGTCATAAGCTTTAGCAAGATCAATCTTAATAGACATGAAAGCTTTCTTACCTGTGAGCCTATTCATGGAGTGAGTCATTTCTTGAGCAATGATGACATTATCATGAATATTTCTACCAGGGACAAAACTGGTCTGGAATGGAGAAATAAGCTTATCCAAGACGGGCTTGAGACGGTTAACAATGATCTTGGATATCGCTTTATAGATAACATTACACAAAGCTATGGGCCTCAATTGGTCCACTCTTTCCGGCTTATCCACTTTAGGACATAGGACCAGTAGGGTATCATTGATATCTTGAATTTTCTTCGGGCTGTCAATGAACTCCTTAACATCTTTACAAAGCTTATCAGCAAGGAAATCCCAATTTTTCTGAGAAAAGGCAGCTGGGAACCCATCTGGGCCAGGAGCCTTGTGGGGTCCCATTTGGAAGAAGGCTTTCTTAATTTCCTCAGAGTTAACCGGTCTGGAGAGGGCCATCAAATCAATAGGATCCAGTTCAGGCCACTTATTGGCCGTTTGCTTCCAAATTCTAGCATGATTATCTTCAGAATAAAGCTTGAGGTAAAAGCTAGACACCATGCTCTTGAGCTTATTATCCCTTCTAATCCACCGGCCTGCTTCATTTTTCAGAGCATAAATTTTATTTCTACCCCTTCTGGCAATAGTTGTAGTATGGTAAAACTTTGTGTTTCTGTCCCCATGCCGAATCCACAAGGCTCTAGACTTTTGGTACCATAATTGTTCCTCCAGGTCCAAGGTAAGTTCCAACTCTCTTCTAAGCTCCAAATCCAATTTCACCAGAAACGAATTATGTCTAGTTTCCAAGCTCCTCTGGATACCATCAAGCCTTCGCATAATGGATATTTTTTTCCTATGGATAAACCTGAATGTGTGTTTGTTCCAATCTCGAAGAACTGGAACTAGCTTGATCAAGTTTGAGGCAGAACTTTCATTCGACTTCCAGTTGTCAGCTAGGACCTGCTTAAAAGTAGGATGCTCCAGCCACGGAGGAAAAAACCTAAAAGGCCTCTCTTCCCAAGGGGAAGAAGCTTTCAATAAAGAGATGAGCAAGGGATTGTGGTCCGATTGAATTTTAGGAATAACCTGGACTACTGCATCTTCAAACAGCAATCTCCATTGGATGTTAGCTACAACTCTATCCAATCTCTTGAAGACTCTATCAAGGTTCGAAAATTTCGGACCTTTCCAGGTAAATTTAGGACCCACACTACCCATATCCAGCAGCTGACAGTCATTGAGAATAGCAGCAAAATTAGAGCAATTACCTAGATCCGCAGGGGCTCCTCCTCGTTTTTCATGCGCCACTGCAATCTCGTTGAAGTCTCCAGCAGCCATCCACGGTTCCAGGTACTGCACTGAGATCCTTTTCAGGTCATCCCAAAGCTCCTTCCTATTTTCTCTTCTGGGAGTAGCATACACAGCCGTAAAGAGAAAGGGAGGGTTGTCAGGAACCTGAACTCTAACAAGAATATACTGAGAACTTTTCTCAATTAACGAAACAGAGAACTTATCTTGATTCCAGAGAATCCAAATACCACCAGCGAAGCCAACAGCTTCCTCTACGATCGAATTAGAGAACCCAAGAGACCGAATCACCTTGGCGGCTCTGACACCACTAATTCTAGGCTCAAGCAACACTACCATATCACACTTGTATTTCTTCGAGAATGTCCCTATGATTCCTTTGAAGCGCTTCTTCGCAGCTCCACGGCAGTTCCATATGAAAACATTCATT